GGGTGTTCTGATCATTATGCTATTGTGGTTCTTGCAAGGCAATTTGAAGAAGCCTTTACTACTTGAGAAAAGCTGGGCTACAGAATCTTTAACAAGTGGAATATATCATAGAAACTCTTAGCATTCCTCCATCATCCTCCACCATTCCCATTTCCATTCCCAGAGCTAGTTTCTGCTAAATTCTTTGGACATCCTACATTCTTTTTTCTTTTTTGGTCTTTTTGAGACAGGGTCTTCCTCTTACCCCAGCTGGCCTGGCACTAGACCAGGCTGGCTTTGATCCACCTGCCTCTGCCTCCTGAGTGCTGGAACTAAAGGCATGTGCCACCATGCCCGGCTTGGACATCTTACATTCTGTTTGAAAATGGAACTAGCTGATTTTTCCACTTCCTTCTGGTTCTTTAACTTCAGTTTGGAATTTCTTTGACTCCAGTTTGGAATTCTTAAACAGGCCTTATTGTGATGCAGACTATTGACATGTAATACCAAGGTCTAAGCCTTATGTAGGCAAGGAGTTTATGAGCCACATTATCAATACACTTTTGGGATTCTGGTTCTATTAAAACAACTTTTTTGTATGTTTATATGTATTTTGTTTATTATTTTTTGAGGTGCTAGGGATTGAACGTGAGGCTTTGAGAAATATGCAAGTGCTCTTTTGAGGGCCTTTCTCAGCCCTGGATATATATTTTTCTAAAACCTGCTTAGTTAGTTTTAGCATCATGTCAGGAATTATCAAACTAAGCAAGTTAAATTATATTGAATTTAAAATTACTTAGTAATGCAAGTTTCTGCTGCCTTTTTTCATATATAATCTGAAAGTAATTTCTAAAAATCACTTATTCTATACTTTTCCTTTCTTAGATAACTTTTCACTACTGGCTGAGCAAGTGTGTTTTAATGATATATTCTAATGATGAGAATTAAGAAAAAATAGAATCTGTAAATCTCAAGGCTGTCAAGGCTTGGACGATCCTGAGTTAATTTTTCCTCGACGTCTCCCAACAAAGGAGTATTTCCTTTCTATCCTGTAGCTAAATGATAAAAGTTGATTCTTTTATGTTTTTCCTGCTTTTGCTCCCACCTGAATCCTTCATCAGTAGTTCTCCCTACAGCGCCCCCAAAACTAGTCACACCAACTCACTGCCGGCCTGCATTTCATTCTGCAACATGCTTTATGAGACATTGGACAAAGCGGTGAAGAGATTGGGTTGGAAAGGGAGGAGCCTTGAAGCCATGGAATGTAGGAAAAGGTTGAACAATATGGGGATTTTAATTTCCACAGTTTGAGAAGAGGACTACTTTGCATTTTTAGAGAGCGGTCACGTGAGACTGAGCAGGAGTCATTAGTACCAACTGAAGGGGAACACTCGGAAGGCAGGTTGGTGACGTGATTTGGGGCTGCCTCCATCAGTGCCGCCTTCCAGCTCTGCAAGTACGTTGCATGGATCACAGGGCATCCCAGGCTGTACTCCAGCTTCAGCTGCAGAGTTAAACTTCAGTGTTTTGTTCCAATTCTACCCTTCCTGTACTTACCTGTTTACTCTATGCACATAACAGTACTTTCCTTTTCTACAGTGAAGTGAAATCATAGATCTCTTACTAGTTTCTTCATGTGTAATGTCATTATTATTGCTTAAAGTGAAAGTCAATATTTTATAATCATGTTAAGTTGGGTGGTTGGGAAGAGCTTCTATTACCTTCCTCTGTGGACTGTGAAGCATGCCCTTATTGTGAAATTACAACCAGTAGGAACTCTGACCTCATGATAACTGAGAACAATGTTTTATGATCTCATTAGAACCTTGGTGTGTATATGTGCTCTGTGTTCTATCTGGTTTACATTTTTCTTTTTTTTTTTTTCCCCCCCTTGGACAGGGTCTCACTATGTATCCCTGGCTGACCTGGAACTCATTATGTAGACCAGGCTGGCCTCAAACTCACATAGATCTGCTTGCCTCTGCCTCCTTAGTGCTGGGATTAAAGGCGTGTGCACCATGCCTGGCCTGGCAAGATTTATGTTTTTTTTTTTTTTTTTTTTTTTTTTTTTGTGTGTGTGTATGTGTGTGTGTGTGTGTGTGTGTATAGTAGTGTGGTGGGAGTGCCCTCAGAGGCAAGAAGAGAGTGTCAGATCCCCTGGAGCTGGAGCTATAGGGAGTTGTGGAAATTAAACTTGGGTCCTCTGGAAAGGCAGAAAAAGTGCTCTTAACCTCTGAGCCCTCTCTCCTGTCCCCATTTTCACTTAAGAACCTCTGCTATGTCATAATTCATTCTTCATGACCAAAATTTCTAAGGAGAATTACGTGAAAAAAAAAATGCTTCTAAATTCATTGTAGAAAACAAGAGGGTATTGAATTAAATCTGGCCTCTCTGAAAGTGACTTGGGTTTCTCATGAGACTATACTGAAATTAAAAAAAAAAATTATGTACTGGGTAAGTGTGGTGATGCAGGCCTGTGTGCTGGCAAGAGGATCAGGAATTCAGTGTCATCCGTGGCTACATACATTCCAGGCCAGCCTGGACTACATGAGACCTATCTCAAAAAATCGAAAGAACAAGCAAGGGCCTGTTAGATGGCTCAGTGAGTACAGGTGCCTGTTGCCATGTCTGAGGACTCAAGTTGGATCTCTGGCACCCATCTGGTGGAAGGAGTAACTACAATCTACGAAGTTGTGCTAAGCTCCCCTTGCTGTTGGGACTTTTCCTAATATTCAGACAAAGAAATTCTTAGCGAATGTTTAGACTTTAAGAATTTTAAAACAGCAGCTTTACAAATGAGTTTAGAATTGGGTTTACTTAGTTTTTTAGACAAAGGGGGTATTTGAGGTTCCTATAATCTGTTTTTTCCATATTCATGCAAAATCTCAATTACATTTTTCCAAAAAAATACTTTGGTCAACACAGTGACACCAAGACTTGGGGAAATAAAGATAAAGCAACATTTAAGTGAGCTTGAGAGATTTTGTTTTTCACTCTAGTCCTGTGGCCCTTAGAAAATGGATCACATTTTAAAAAGGGTTCAAGGCTTACTACAACCCTTTCAGGACTTTCAGGTTTAAAAACATTTTTTTTTCAGTTTTTTTCCTTTATATATGAAGGTGAGACTGTCAAGAAGGGCTCTTTAGTGATTTTTCCTGTATAAGGTAATGGGATAAGCTTTTGGATGTAAGGGTAGGGTCTGTTTTTAACATCTCACCAAGGACACGTTTGGCCAGAATCCCTCAGATGCTCTGAATGATTTCTCTGAATAGCACAGTATTCACTTAGTTTTCGTGTTTGCTTAGCTTTCTGGCCAGCCTGCAAAGCAGGCTAATGGCTTAAGATTAATGAGTTGAGTTGCCTGCCTCCTTCAGCTGGCTCTTCACGCGAGCTCCCCCTCTCTCTAGAGGTCAGTCAGCAACTGCGAACCAAAGCCAGGCGCAAATCCCTTCCTGTTTCAGGAGAAACTTCCCAGAGCGCATGCCCTGGGGATAGCGGCGCTGTAGCGCCATTTTCGTTTGGAAAGGACTGCCCACTAAGTGCGTCCCTAGGGCGCCCAGCATTAAAGTTGTTCTAATAGGACGGAAAACCTCGCAGAAACAAGTTCCTCCTGGACAGGAACCTGTCTACTTCTTGCAGGGCTTCGGCTGAGCCTGTGTGAAGAAATTCTTTTCTGTTAATTTCCCTTGCGGGCAAGTGGTCCTTTCCCTCCTCTCCGCCCTGGATGGCCCTGGATGGCCTCGCCCGCTCCGGGACCGGAGCAGTACTTTTAGACAAATGTGATGATTTTGCACTCACGCTGGCGGCTTCAAACCCAGGACGCTGAGAACCTGACGGGAAGGGTTTTTTTCTTTTTCCCTTGAGAACAAAGCCGAAGTTATTGCAGAGTCTAGTACTTGAAGGACAGCACTCCGGGTACTTCTGAGCTAGGAGGTGGCGCATCTATTAAAACTTGGTTATAAAGATGCAGATCTCTCAGAGGCGGGGACAGGGCTGGTGGAAAGGTTAGCTAGAGGTAGGAGGGGACGTGGAGAGGGTCCAGGGCTTTTCAGTGTGTGTGTGGCAGGAGTTTAGAAGAACGTGAGAGAGTGGGGCAAGAAAGAAAGAGCCGGGGAGAGAGAAGAAAAACCTGGGGTGGAAGAAGACGGCGGGCGCAGAAGAGGAACCGGGGACCGCGCCCCTCAGCCTCCGAGGCTGCAGCAGCGCCGGCTTAGACATCCAAGCTCTACCCTTCCTTTTCATTCATAACTTTCTGGCCCCGCCCGACATACCCCCAGCCAACCCTCCCCTCCGTGAGGGCCCTGTTTCCTGTCCAGCAATTGATGAACGGCAACAAAGTCTTAGCAACCGGCTCCTAGTGACCCGCGGAGCGCCTGGTAACTGCGGCCCGAGGCCGGCGCGGAGGAAGGAGCCAGGCTGTCCCTTTAAGGGATGGCCGAGGAGCCCTGAAAGTGAAGGGGGCCGACGGAAGGCGGGGGAGGCAGGTCGGGGGGCGGACTTAAGGGGAGGAGGCGCAGAGGGTGGAAGAGTTGCTGCTGAAAGGAGGTGTCGGAGGAGGAGTCGCAGCAGCTGCCGCCAGCCCCGCGGGCACCGCCGGAGTCCTGCCCGCTGCCGCACGAGTGGCCACGGGCGCGATCCGGGCCAGACGTCTCCTCCTCCATGATCACTTTGGAAGCCGGAGGAAGACTTTGCCCGGCCGTGAGAGCTGGTGTGCGTTGCCCAGGAGCAGCGGCGGCGACCGTGCGGCAGCTGCAGGAGCAGCGGCAGCTGGGGCAGCAGCCGAGGCATCAGCAGCAGAGGCGGCGGCGGCGGCGGTGGCGGCACCAGCAGCAGCAGCAGGAGCTGCAGCGGCGGCAGCACCGTCCGTATAGCAGCGGCCACAGCCCGGGGCGTGTTCGTCCCGCGCCCAGCGGGCTCGGGTTCCCCGCGGAATGTCCCCGGGGCGTCCCACGCGCTGACCCTGCAGCCGCCTTCTTCTGCACCCGCCGCCTCGCACAGGAGGGCTCGGGGATCCGGACCGCGAGCTTCCCGGCTTCTGGGCAGTGGGGAAGCCCCCGGGGGCGGGTGACCTCAGCTGGCCCCAGCCCAGCCCGCCCCCGTGCGGATCTCTCTTAAGATGGCAGCAGAGTCAGGGGAACTAATCGGGGCTTGCGAGTTCATGAAAGGTGAGAGCGGCCCCCCGGCGTCCCTCGGCCCTTCCACGCCCCCAACTCTTTTCTCGCTCCTTTGTCCCAGCCTCTGCCCCTGGGGTCTCCCGCGGTCCTGGTGTCCCGCGGCTGCTGCTGCTCCAGCCCTTTCTCCCTCTCCACTCTCGACTCCCCGTGGACCCCCTGCTTCCGGCTTCTTTCTGGCGTCCCTTACTCCCTCCGCAGCTTCCCGGTAATGGGACAGCGCAGGCTTCTCTGCCTGGCCTCCTCCACCCATCCACTCTTGGGGACCCTGTGTGGGTTAATCCTCTAACCCCATTGCTGCTGGCCTGGGCTTTCCGGACACCCTTCCAACCACACCCCCTGCTTTTCCTCCCTTCCTCTTGTCATCTGCGAATCTACAGGAGGAGAGACTCGTCTCCCTTCCCCTTCCGCGGCAGCAGAGATCTGGAGATTTCTGAACCAAACTTGTGTCTCCAGTTTTGCGGGTACTCGCAGCTCCTGTCTACCTGCACCCGCCGGCACGGACCTAGGGTCGGGGGGAAGTGGGGGGCATGCCGGTGCTCTGCCCCCTCTTGGGTCCTCAGCAGACCCTCTTCTGGCTTTCTGGAAGTTGTGCTTTTTGGGGGGTTCTGTCGCTTTCTGGGCGAGATCTGGCAAGAATCCGTGTGTTAAAGGGTCTTTACGTTATGTGTAGCAGTTATTATCGATCATTCGTGTGTGCACAGCACTCCAAGCCTAACTTTTCTACTTTTCATGCATTCTTCTGTCTTTTAAACTTGTCTTTCAGATCGATTGTATTTTGCTACTTTAAGGAATAGACCAAAAAGCACAGTAAATACCCACTACTTCTCCATCGATGAGGAGCTGGTGTATGAAAAGTAAGTTTCTCTCATTTTTTGCCCCCTCAAGTATTTACCTTGCTGTTCTTTAATAAGCAAACACTCTGCATCTTTATGACAGTTTTACTCACTTTCCCCCAGTGGTTCAGGTGACATGGCCGGTTTTCTAAGGCTGGGGGACTTGGGGAGTTATCCAGAGAAAATCAACATAATTTGAGCTTGTCAACATTGCAGTCTTTTTAGGATTCTGTGGATATTAGTTCCTTCTATTCCCACAGCAACTGTGGATTCCTAACCTCCCTAAGAGTGGGTTCAAGCAGTCCCACACTTTGTCACTGCCAGCTGTGTAATTGGCCTGTGAATCAGTCACCAGGTATTTATGGAGCATCCACAGAGTACAGGGCAGTGTGTGTATTACTTAAGCTGTGCAGTTCAACAAGGTTCTGTTGTATGTCAGGATGTTTTTGTTTGCACAGCTTGTTTTCAGAAAGTGGGACACAGGAGCTGCAGGGAGCTGTATCCAAGTCGTATCTATGAGGAAGATTTTCTCTGTATGATTGAGTTATTTTATGTAGGTGCACCAAGCGTCATGGCATTATTTTTGCTGCCTTTGCATAAGTGGTAATAGAGTGCTCATGTACTTTCTTTAGCTACTTTGCTTCTGTGGGGCTAGGATGTGTGAGTGTAAAATAAGAACAAGGAACTGTATTCTGTGAAAGAACATCCAGCTAAAGGAAAGCCCAGTAAACAATTAATTGGAGAGATACACATCTCCATTCATAAAAGCAGTACATAGTACAAAGTCAGAGGGCCGAATTGAGTTATATTCTTTTACTAAAAGCTGATATTTCAGGGGACTGGAGAGATGGCTCAGCGGTTAAGAACACTGGATGTCCTTGCAGAAGAACAACCAGTTCAAATCCCAGCACCCACATGGCAGCTAACTGTCTGTAACTCCAGTTCTAGGGCATCTGACAGCCTCTTCTGTCCTCTGTAGGCATTGGACAACACGGGTGTACTTACCTACATGCAGGCAATAACATGCATACACATAAAATAATAATAAAATATTTTAAAAGATGATATTTCAGAGGAGCCGCTTATACACTGATAATGTAACCTGGACATTTGTTTGTTGCTATCTTAACCTAATGTACAGTCAAATCAGCATCATTAAATGAACCATAATAAACTTTTTAGGACTTATTCTCCTTGAAAGGATATTGGCAATTCTGCCTAGGGATTTGTGGGTACCACTGGGCCTCGGAAAAGGGAGTATTCTGGACTTGGACGAGTCTAAATTTTATCTGAAAGAAAACAGCCTTTAATTGTCACTTCCCTGTAGGGGTTCTTGAAACTGATGTTTTCAGGACATTTCTCCTAGTGGCACTGGGAAGAGGGTGCTTCTTGAATGGCTCTGAAGTGAGTGGGAATAAAAGAGCCCTTTGCTGTTGTTCCTGAATGCCCTGAGCTGCTGTGGCAGAGGTCTGAATCCCCGGTGTCAGATTACAGCCCTGCTCTTAGAATGGAGTTGTACACAGCCTGCTCCCTGACCCTGTATACCTGGATGATGTCACTGCCAATACCGTTTATTGAGTGGACACTATTGTTGGGCACTGTGGCGACTTTCTTTCTGTGAGTTGAGGGCCTAGGGACCTCTCCTGTGTCTGAAGGTAGGGACTGTGGATATATTATGGTCACTTCTGCAGTGACTAAGGTGTCAGGGTTTATTAATGTTATTGAATGAACTTCGTTTATTGAGGTCTGAGTCACTCAGTGTCTTGGGATTGCTAGGTGGTAGACCTAGCAAAAAAATTATGTTTAGTCAACTGAACACAGTTCACAAAGACATTTTGATTCTAATAATAAAACGTGATTTTTGAAAGAATTGCTAGAGGGGCCACCTGGTTCATTTTTAAGTTTGCATGTGAGTTTGAAAGTATAAGAAGCCAGATATGATGCCTTATACCTGTAATCCCAGCACTTGGGAGACTGAGGCAGGAGGGTTGCTTTGAGCTGGGGGTTAGTCTGGACTACACAGTGAATTCCAAGCAAGCCTGGGCTACAAAGTGAGATAACCAATCAATCAAACAAAAAGAAATGACTGCTACTCCACCTCTACAGAGCCTGTATTTCCCCCAGTGTGAATTAACCGCACCTCACCGCAGTAGTGACTACCCGGAAACCTACCTTTTTGTTACATATTATTACACTGTGCTTGGTGGTACAGAGAATTAACATGAGGAATGTACATGTTCCCGTCAAGGAATTCTGAACCTTTAAAGAGACTAAGAGAATGCAATTAAAGGGCACAGAGCTGCCTTAAGAGAAACCTCACCCCAGTCTTAGGAAGAATTCACACAAGGATGGTAACAGAACAAGCTCTGTAGAAGAGCTAAGGTTAGCTTGAAGGAGGGACAGGTTTTTTTCAGGCAGGGCTGTGAGAGGAGAGAGAGAAGAGTCAGGAATTATGAGGGAGGCCAGAATGCGTGTTCAGTAAGTCCTTTACTTTGCCTGGTGTATATACAGGTCACATGCGGTAGTGTGGAATATGACACTGAGAGGTCGGGTGGGGACAGACTGAATGCCAGGGGAAGGAACCTGTAGTTACCCTTATGTGCCTTGGGACTTTTGGAAGGATTCTGGGGCAGGGATGGTATGGCCGGATTCATACTAATTGTAAATAAGGACACACATTTACTAAGCAGTTTCATGTGTTCCAGATACTGTTCTGGTGCCTCTCGGCTTTTAATACACTTTGTTTTCACAATAGTTCTATGAAGCGAGCACCACTCCCATCCTTTTGTACAAAGGTGAGAGAGAATAAGGACAGGGAGGTTGGGTAACTTGCCCAGGGTCACTGAAGTAAGAAGTAACAGAGCTGGAATTTGAAACAAAAACATCTGGTTCCAGCGGATATACATCCTTTGTCAAAAAATTAGTGTGATAACATTATTTAAGACCCATTAGAGCACTGAGTGAAGTGGTGCACGCCTTTAATCCCAGCACTGGGGAGGCAGAGGCAAATGGATCTCTGTGAGACCGAGGCCAACCTGGTCTACATAGTGGATTCAAGCCAGCTGGAACTACAAGGGCTGGAGATCTGGCATAGCTGTAAAGGCTCAGGCTCACAATAAATACCAAAACCAAAACCAACAAAACCCAGCCAACCACACAAAAGAATCCCCCAGCTCCCTCACCCCAAATCCCAAACTCAGAAATGAAACAAAAACAAAAAAGGCCATTAGAGAGGAAATAAGAGCCCACGTAGAAAAACTCTGGCATGCTCAGGGGGAAGAAAAAGACCTAGATTGAGGCAGTGGCCATGGTGATGGAAAGACAGGATCTGAATGCATGTGTTTTGGTAACAGGTCCGGTGGATGCTGAGGAAAGACATCAAAGTAGTTCCTGGAATTGTCCTATCAGAGTGGGTCCGAGGGAGCCATGAAGTGAAACAAGGAAGCAGGGTGGGCTTTGGTGAGAAGATCTAGCATTCCGTCTTGGTCAGATTAAATTTCAGAAACTAAAGTGCTATTCACATTCTTGTTGAAGGTCACACACCTTTGAAGTGCTTAAAGTTCGAGTTTCCCATGGAGAGGATGAAGTGGGAAGAATATTCTGGGGAAGAAGAGGTCAAGGTGTTCACAGGTAGAAGCAGGATAAGGGGATTAAGGGAAGGATGTGTAAATAATTAGCCAAGCAAGAGAAAAAAAACCTGAGGGTCGAGAGGGATGGGCAGAGGGAGAGGCCTTGGCATCCATCTCTGGCTTCATTTCTTGGAAAAGTGGAATGGGAGGGACTACAGAGTCCCTGGGAGCTTCTGTAGAGGGCAGACACGCTAATGTGCCAATCTTCCAGGAAAGGAGCATATTTATATACACTATCACACTGGGCCTCAGATAGCCCCATAACTGTAATTATTTGCTGAATGTCCCAATGAAAAGTTGCTTTTCTGGGTAAATTATCACCTTAGAAACTATTAACTTGGCTCTTTAAATATTAGAGTATGTTTAGTCTAGATATAGCTGTATTTTGTGCAGATGTTTATTGAGTTGTAACAAAGGTTGATAGAACTTCATGATTGAAATAGTGACCTGGAAAGAGTGAACAAGAAAATTGAACAAAATGGCTTCAGAATTAAAGTTTGAATTTTTTCACTTGATTCCTTCCTTCCCTTCCTTCTTCCTCCCTCCCTCCCTCCCTCCCTTCCTCCCTCTGTCCCTCCCTCTCTCTGTCCCTCCCTCTCTCCCTCCCTCCCTGCCTGCTTGACAGAATGTCACTATTATACGTAATATAGTACTGGCACTGGCAGGCTTGGAACTTGGAACTTGGATCAGGCTGGCCTTAAATGTACAGAGATCCACCTGCCTCTGCCTCTCAAGTGCTGAGACTAAAACCGTGCACCACCATGCCAGGCTTCTGTTTGGTTTTTAAACAGAACTTATCTCATTCCATGAAGGCCTGAGCAGTGTTAGTAAAACATGGATGATAAGAAATCATACTTTGTCCTTTGGTTAAAATGTGTTTTCACAGGGCCAGAGTTTTAAAACAAGAGTATAGGTTAAATGCTAGTGGTACAAAAAATAGTTCCATAAAAAAATCTTTCAAAGATTTATCTGAATTAGATTAAGCACACAGTTCTCTAGAATGGTTTATTCTTTGGTGTTGGAATGGGGCCCTGTAATCCAAATAGAGGCTAACTTTTAATAACTTGGCTCGTGGTTTTTGGCTCAGGAGTTAGCAAAACCAAATGTGTTAATTTGTGACCCCTTGCGTCCTTTGTTAACAGCATGGAAAGCCAGTCTGCCGGAAGGGTGGGATTCAGCATCTTGACTGCAGCCAGGCCCCTTTCTCTTCCTTCTGCTCTTGGGTTTGCAGAGGAAAGGTGCTGAAATCACAGGACATGGCCCGAAATGGAGATGTTTTGGAGACTGCGTTTTTAGAAGTTTCTCTAGTGAATCCGAGAAATGTCGCCGAGTATTTTAACTTGTTAAGAGTGAGCAATCTCAGCTGGGACTGTAGCTCAGTGGGAGAGCTCC